ATTCCAGTTAGAAAGGCCTGTTTACCTCATCGCATCCTCCCACAGATCAAACCATCAGCAGCCACAGCAGCGAGGGTGAGGAATAACGTAGGCCATCTTCCTCTGACTCCTCACAGCACACAAGACCGAAAACACAGCTGTGCAGTCTTCGTCCGGCTTAGAACATAACACAGTGAGAGGATAACTAAGACCCCATGTGCTTTCCAGTCACAACTCCCTATATTCTTATGAGGAAAATCAGTGTTTGAATTAATGTATATTATTCCCATTCAACTCTTTACACCTTTCCTGTCATCATTTCCAACTACTGGCCCACTGCTGTCCTTTACCGCATAGCATACAATTCAGACTTCTAGACCCACAGTTTTTTCAAGATCTACAAAGCCTTGACACCGTTGTGACTAGAATGTCTACAGAAGTCTGGTTGAGCAGCTCTCTCCCAGGAAAAGGCAGACGCTAACTCTATGCAGTGTAGCTTGCCCTTCACGTCTTTCTGGTCTGGACGTGGACAGGGGGTGACCCTACTGTCACCGTGCAGTGGGGAAGGGGGCCTCGACGCACCCACCGCAGAGCCACCACCGTGCTCCGGGTTGTGTGGGCAGACCCCCTCCCGAGTCAGGCTGGCCATGTGGACCCCTTGCTACGTCAGGCAAAGACTACATCTCATCAAATCTAAGACGTTCCTGATTTTAAGACATGCTGTTCTTCTGCTTGCTTCTAAGAATGAAAAGAATAACGCTGATCATTGTACGATAAAAGTTTTTCTTCACATTGATTTTAAATGATGAGCTAACTGTATATCTAAGGACATGGGTTAGGACACACATTCCTGAGTCTGGGAACTCAGAAACCCCTTAGTTGGGTTTCATATACTTGCGCTCAAGTCCTCTACTTGATAACATTCTGTAATAAGTAGATTTACATTAGATCGGTGCATCTGGAAGCAGAGAAGGACAAAAACCAGGCTGTGCTGAGAAACCTTTAGCTCTAGGCCTGGAATCCAAGACAGTTCAGGCAGAGATGTGTGGTCTGGCTGTCAGACTCGGGACTGCTCACGGACAGGTTTATTCCTTGCCCTTCCCTGTGTTGATCTGTGTGACTGTGTTCCCTCTGAGGCCCACATGTGAGCAACCTTTTCCTGGTGTCTCACACCCCCCCTGCCTCAGTGCCGCCTCCTGGCGGCCAGCCCAGCCCAGGCTGCAGTCTGCACAGTGCACTGGCCTCCTGGCCCTGACCTGCCACTGAGGAGTGGACATGGCTTCCTCCTTTGTTCTCCTGGATGCCCTCTCCAACCTCCACTTGGCTTCCCAACTTCCCATGCCTGTGCAGTCAGCCCCTTGCTTTGAGGTATCTCTGATCTTGGAATCTATGAGGTGGGTTTTGTGTCCTTGATCAGAAATCAGAGTTGGCTTCCGAGTCCTCATCTAAAGCTCCTGTACCCTGTGTCCGAGGTGGGAGAAGGTGACTGCTTGGTCACTCCCCAGGGGACGGGGTGTCCATTGGGAAATGAGGCTGCTATGCATGGGTTTTTAAAGACGTCTTTCCTTGCCAGCCACTGATTCCAGTGCTCAGAGGCAGGACTCTTCCGTCTTCTTGTTCGGAAGGGTGTGATCTAGCTATCTTCTACCCATCTCTCTTTCTCTTTTAATTTGTGTGCATATTATTTTTATTGATGCTGATTTTACTTATTTACTATCTTCTAGTTTCTTTGGCACAAGGACCAATTCCCCCCCCAAAATATGTCCTTGGAATCGCCAAGTGGTCAAATGCCACTTTTACTACTGTTCCATTAGGAAGAGAATGTCGGGAGGCACTGGAACCCTATAGTGACATCTTTAGACAGCAGGAGAATTTGGAATGGATGGTCTTACCTCCACAAAGGCCTACCTTTCTCTCGCCTTTCTCGATTAATGAAGGGCATTAAATATGCTCCTGAATCCTGAACCTGGCTCGCTCTGCCAGGTCTGACCAAATGCAACCAAGAAAGCCAGGCAAGTGACCACAAACATGGAGATGCAGGCAGTGTTTCCTCAGAACTTAGTAGCTAGGCAAACCCATCTATACTGACAAGAGACAGGCCAGCATTTCATGAGTATAGGAAGATTCCTATAGGATAAATTTGCCTTCAAACACTCACTGATATTAACAGTTCCCAGAACTTTCTGTAATGTAATAAAATATTGTTGGTGATTAAAAGTATGACCTCATTCAAGAAAACCACTTCTGAGTTTTTTAAACTATTTTTTACACATAAAATCACACACAATACAAAATGCTTGTTTTACAAGTTGAAATCGTTACAGATATGGGTACAGTTACAGCAGTGCAGGTGTATTAGTGCATTCAACTGAGCAGTTATTTATCGTCATTGCATTTAACATAAAGCTAAGAATGAATCATTTAAGTTGATTTCTAGTCTCTGAATCAAAAAAATAAAGAAAAAGATTTCTATCTCCTGTTTAATATGTCAGGATGATAAACAATGTCTACATTTAAGTAGTCTGGTATCTATAAATGGGAGATTGTATGCTAATAGCTTTTAAGTCATAAATCGTTAAGGTTCTGACTAAATATGTCCATCAAATTGTCATTATCTCAGCTTTCAGGAAAATTACCTCATCTTTGGTAATAGGCTGCGAACTAACAGAAACTATAGATTACACCATTTTATTCCAAAGAATCCTGTATTTTAATGAATAGCTGAATAAATAGACATTAATTATGAAATTCACATTAAGATAGAAGAAAATTCAAACATTCTGGTTGCCTTATCTTTTAAGTTTGACAGCTACTGCAAACACACTGTTAATGTTAGGGTAGAAATAATGTGAATTACAGAAGAGTAGCTGGGAAATGCTGGCAGATATATACAGTAACTGGGAAGAGCCATAGAATAAACGTGTTTATATGTACATTATTTTTCCTCTCTTTGTGCATGGAGAAACACTGTTTTATAAAATGAAAAACACACAGTAGGCTACATGCAAAAAGGACTGATATAATTGTGCACAGAGGAGTAATCGAATCAGACATGAGAACTGTGGGCTTAATAACGAATTTGGAGCAGGAAAAAGCAAAGGTAGGGATTGAAACTGGGAATGCTTTCTCACTGAGGTTTCAGAATATAAATTTGTTTAATGATTCTCTTGAGAGTTTCCAGAGTTCCTACTTGGCCAAGTATGGTTTTAGCTAAAAATAAACTGTCATATTATACAAAACTTTGTGTATTAGCATACAAAAGGTAACAATTTACTCTTTGTATAAAATATAACCTTTCGATAGTATATTTATTTCACATATGTATAAATATAACCCAAAGAATATGTTTTAAGTATTTTCTACCAAAATATTCTTTACAAAAGTGTACAAAACAAGTAATTCATTTGTATTTACAAATTAGCACAGAAAAGACCCCAGGCCAGTAACCTGGGTGCTGGTTGGAGGGGACCGCAGCCTTCAGGCGCCTGTAAGACTGGGCATGGCAGAACTCAAAATGTGTTTCTGTTTGTAATTTGAACTGATACCAAAAGACGTGGGTTTTAGATGGCTCCAGTTAAATTGCATTTGGTAGTTGAAAATGTAACTAGAAGGTGGAGCACAACTTTTGCTGTTTTGTAGCTAGGAAAACAAGAGCAGCACTCTGCATAGAACCCACGTCAGAACATCTTCCTTGGTGCATGGGTGCTGAGGCTAAATGTGCTACCAAAATTCTGTTTCTTTCTTTCTTTCTTTTTTTTTTTTTTGTCAGTCACGGGGCTTGAACTCTGGGCCAGGGCTCTGTCCTTCAGCTCAACTCAAGGCTAGCACTCTACCACTTGAGCCACAGCGCCACATCCGGTTTTCTGAGTGGTTTATTGGAGATAAGAGTCTCAGGCCTTTCCTGCCTAGGCTGGCTTTGAACCACGATTCTCAGATCTCAGCCTCTTGAGTAGCTAGGTTGACAGGCATGAGCCACTGGTGCCTGGCCAAAATTCTGTTTCTGACAGACATGGCACTCAACCCTCAGAGGGAGAAAACCTGGGCATGGGGAGATCAGGAAGCACACAGAGAGGTCTCACTGTGTCAGGCAGAGACGCGGGCGTAGACTGACACTTTGTGGCTCTGCAGCCAAGCCCATAATACATCCAAAGAAGGAACGATCATTTTCTTCTCTCAATTATTCTTTCCTCTAAACTCCATGAAAAAAGATTGTCCCCGCTCACACCTGCCATTGCTGTTTCTTGCCTCTAGTCAACACATGATGCTTTCTAGTCACAGCTTGGGCCTTCACTTTCTTTCCTTACAAACCAGTTTCTGGTCATCAAAAATGACAAAGACAATGCTCCATTTCCCTCAGCTTAGGAACTGGCCAATGGGTGCCAGTCCTAATAAGTAAAACTTCAGCTATTCATGGCCCCATAACTCTCTCTGATGGCAATGCCCCACTTTTTTAGGTGCCTCAGTATTTTGGCATGGATTCTTGGTTTCTGAAGCTTAGACAGGAGGGTTGTGGGGTCTGAAGCGGACCTGCATCCCCCTCTCATCACTGGCTATAGATCCCACTGTCATGTGGCACATGTGAGGAAATGAAGACGGGGGGGGGGGTCTAGGGAAGGGATTCCACACTCCACCGGTGTTTTCTAAGTGTGCTATCCTTTCTTTCCCAAATAAACCCGTCACATTTTGATATGTTCTGCAAGCCTTATGAAAATTAAATGACAAGACAGTGGAAAACTAAACCACACTCACTCACCTATGCGAGCAAATTAAGGAATGTGTTGCTGTTGAATGGAACCAGTGCCTCCTGGTGACGTGGGGTTTAAACAAGCTACAAGCTCTGTTTTACTTCTTACACAACGACACATCCATAGGACAGTTCTGTTTGGGTCCACTGGGTGACATGCTCCCTGGTTTAGACCGGAAAGTGAACCCAATGTGCTGCTTTCAGGTTTCAGAGTCTGAACAAGAATTTGGACCAGACTCTTCAGAACCGCGATTCCTTTCTGCCTTGCCCCTGGCTCGCGTGTGTGCGGCAGTCTTGCGCTCGGCCTGGCCCGGGGGTGTCCTTCACAGCCTGCTCCCAAGGGCTGGGGGTCTGCCATCTGCTGTTCTTTCCTCAGGAGTTGCTCCCCAGGATTTCGTCAAGACTGATGTCCTTCATCCAGTCATCGTGGCCAGTCTCTGTCCTCAGCAGAGAGTCGATGAAGTCCACGTCGCTGTCCAGTGCCGGGCCCACGCTGTCGGCCTGCCGGCCGAGGAGGTCAAAGGCCAGCTCGCTGACCTGCTCACTGCCCTGGAAAGCGCTGGAGCTCTGGTCCGAGGAAGGAAAAGTACTGGGAGTCAGAGGTGGCAGCTGGCTCATGACGGTCCTGGGCAGATTCAACCCTGCCCCTGTTGGGGTCAGATTAGACAGAACCTGTGTGCCAAGCTGCCCGGGTCTGAGGCTCATGCCCCTGGGGGGGGCCACGGTCTGTCCACTTAGCGTCTGCCCCGTCTGGCTGGCGGGCCTCATTTGCACTGTGGGTGTCAGCTGGCCTGGCGGGGCCGCTGTCCCCTGGGGGGGCTGCGGAGGCTGACCGGGGGTGTAGGCTGTGGGGAAGCGCCCTCCCGCTACCCCCAAGGGGACCTGCTGGCTGGCCGTGACTCCGGGAGAGGCCCAGGTCCGTGTGGCCCTGTGGGGCGTGGCCACCCCACTGGACGCCGATGCTGATGCTGACGAGGAGGAGGATGATGACGATGATGACGGTCTCTGGCCGGGCAGGCCTGCCATAGTGTGGGTTACATTTGGTCTCAGTTGTGAATTGCCAGCAGTCCCAGCTCCAAACCCAAGGGCCCTGGTGGCCACATCACTGCTGCTGTTTGGCCCTAACGTTGACGGCTGTGGCAGCAGAGAGTTGCTTGGGTTTGCTAGCAGTTGGTTTGGATTTCTCTGTTGGGTCAGCTGATTCACGCCGGGCGAGGCGCCACAGGTGCCAGGCTGGCCGCAGGGCAGAGCTGTGTACACCCCTGCGCTGTGGGCTGCCGTGGGCAAGGACGGCGCTCTGGTCGCATGGGAAGCAGACATGAGGCTGGGGTTTTGATTTAAAATGGCGTGTGTTGAAACTGGGTTTGTCAAAGCCTGGTTAGAGTTTAAACTCACCGAGGATGAGCCACCTAAGAAAGAGAAAATAATTATACCTGTTCATAACAGTCTTCTATAGCAACTTCTAATTCAAGAACAAGAGAAATGACCAACATATAAAAGGAATACGTCAGCTTTTGATGGGAAGGCCCACCCTCGGTCACTCCTTGATGAAGAGTTTACATGGAACACAAAGAAGCTAAAATGGAATGGGTCTAATGTAATAGGTTTCACATTTTTCCTCTTTTTTTTAGGTCCAAGATCAGGACTTGAACTCAATACCTGACACTTTCTCTCACTGTCTAGCATATACCAACTGAGCCATGCCTCCAATTCCTCTCCCCAGTTCTGGAGCCACTGAGATATTATTGATTAAGCTTGCATTTGGAATGAGCTTTTCTATATGCTGAGCCCAGAGACCGTGTAGATTATCTGCTGGCCAGGGAATCTGGATCACTCAGCAACTGTATATGAGATGCAGGCTTCCTGCTCTATCTTCCTGTTGGCGGCCGTGGAAATCCACACCTCCTTCTTCATCTGAAGCACTCTCATTTCAGAAGCTGCCAGGGTCCACAGGGTAAAGGCCTGGTGCCCTCCACAGTCCGGTGATTTCTGTCCATATGGAAAGCTGCTACACTGCTTTGCTATGGAAGCCACCACCAGCCATACTTCCTCTTGCCATTTCTCTTATCTTAATCTCAACCCTCTTTTAAAGTTTCAGGCCAAGGCTCAACTCCATCTTTACGCTTTTTATTTACTCCCGTCTCATGTTTTCTCTGTGAGTCTTCCGTGCGGCACGGCACACTCCACAGCACCAAAAGACCTGTCCGTTAACCCGATGCCTGTCACTGGTGGGCTGGTGTGGGACATGGATGAGTGATGCACCCTTGAACTGGACACGCCCTGCCTCTAGGCAGCTACAGCCACGGTCAGAAATACTTTGAGAGGCAAAAATGGAGCCCCGGGAAGAGGGGGACGTGCCCGATAGGTGGGGAGTTCCGGCAGGGAAGGTGTTTCTGCCTGTGCGTGCAGTCATATTTCCTGAGTCCAGTGGATGGCATGGAATTGTTACATAACTGATACCCTCAATGAATGAACAAATGAATGAATGAGATTAAAGCAAAGAAAAGCTTAGGGAAAGATGCTTTTATGAAGGAAGGTGGGTGGGCCTGCAGGATGAGAGACAGTGCGAACTAGAGAGCTGTCTACCCTGGGAGCTGCAGGATGTCAGTTAGGAGAACAGCATGTCTACAAACGCTGCCTGGGCCTGACCACCACACTACAAGTGTCATCTGCTTCCGAATGTCTGCAGGTGGATGCACACTCTCGTAGCCCTGGCATCTCTAGTCTTCCCATGGCTGTGCATCTTGCAGATGCTTCCAGAAGTGCGGTAAAGAGGGACCAGGGAAGAGAGCTGGAGCGACAGCTGAGCGTACACACAATGCCAACGATCTAAACAACAGCATCTTTATATTTTAGGGTCTCCCGAAAAGAGAGTTTATACTACATAAATGCTACAAGGAATCAGAAAAGTTATCCCCCTAATTTTAAAAACAATACCCCAAGAAGCTGTTGGTGGTGGTGGTGGTAAGGTCTTTCTGTGCAGAGTAGGATAGGCTCAAACCGGAAATTCTTTTGCCTCAGCCTCCCAAAAGCTAGGATTTCAAATGGGCATCACCAGACTGGCTGGGAACAGCTGTTTTCCACAAAGATCACAAAATAGTAGCACTTTACATCATAAGTCGCTCACATGACAGAAAGCATTAACTGTTCTTGGTAGTTCTTTCCAATATTAGCATCTAGGAAAGGTGGTTCTCATTGTACCAACAAATATAACAGCATCTCTCTGAGGACCATCAAATAGAGAACGGCATTTTTACACAGAGGCAAAGCGATCTTAGCGGCTGCATCACAGCCCGGTCCCGATTGTAGGGAGGAGACAGCTAGTCCAGCTGAAGAAGTTTCAAAACAGAGCGACCTATACAAATTGCACTGAACAGGACCCCGAGAGCAAACCGCCTTTCTTTCTTTAGAGAACTTCCGAGCGGTTTCATTTGTCTTTGTGCCCGCAGACTGACTGTCCGTTTCTCTTTTCTTCTGTGGGCCCAGCCCCGTCTTGCTGCCACTGACCCAGCAGAGCTGGTTTCCCTTCGCCTCCCCAGAATTGCTCAACCACTCTCTTTAAGGCCTAAGGTTTTCAGACCTTGTTGCCATGTATCTCAAACTCACTCACCTTTATCCCTCTTTTCCCCCTTTCCCCTTCTCCGAAGTAGTCTTTATTAGACTTGTGTTCTATGCTTACCTTTATGACTTTCTTGGTAGATGGGGAACAGGTAAAACAGGTAAAGGAAAGTTGGGAGGACAAATAAACATAAAAAATAAACATATAAAAGTACTGAAAATTCTGGTGGAAGAGACGCGAGTGGGAGTGGAGGCGGCGGGGGGGGGGTTCAGCAGAGTCTCCTAGGAGAGCAGCTGGAAGGAGGTCTGTTTTTCTTTTGTGAAGGGTGGGGTGGGGAGTCCTGTTTGTCACTTATTTTATAGTGGGAAAGGTATCAAAAACGTTTTTCTTTGTGATGTGAAAAGAGCCACCTCTGATGCTCTGGGGGAGTTTACTGAAATGTGTTTACTGTAGAACTGTAAAAGTTCACTATTCTCTGGCAGTAGCACTATTGGAAAAGAAGCCTTTCAAGAGGAGGCTTTCTGTGAACCACGCCTGTGCCTCTGCTGAGCCCAACCTGGGCCAGGCCACCTGCAGGGACGGTAGGATGGGCAGCGGAGGCCTGGCTCCAGCCAGAGCCACCCAGAGGGAGACACTCACCGGAGAACTGGGCTGCTGGCAGGAGGCTGCCCACGTTTCTTCTTTGGTCTTTGTAATCTGGGGGCAGCCTTGTCAAATGTCGGTTTATCTGCTCTTGTGGTGTGATTTTCTCCTTAAGGACAAAAATGAAAATGTATTAAAATTCTACCATTACCTTTCCACTTATAAAAATTTATGAGTTACTCAGAAAAGTAAAAGTATCAGAACAATTTTGCGACCACTGGGTGTCAATCATAACCTTATTTAGTTGTGATAACTCAGAGATGCATCGTTTCCTGCATGGAAGTGTTTCTACGTCTGCACAACATTCAACACACTGCCGGGCCCTGCGAGACCCTATATGTGTACTTCTTCTTTTTTGTACCCCCATAATCAAGCCTCCAAGGTAAGCAGGCTTATTTTCAATTAGAAGAAGAAATGGAGGCTTCCTTAGGCTCGGTGATTTGCCCACGGTCACACAGTGAAAGAACAGAGACCAAATCCTGAGTGGAAAACTCAGGTTCTTTCCTGCCACACAGGGCCAGGCCCCTGGCTGGTGATTCTCAGTGTTCCTTCTAATATCTCAGAACTGTCCTGGTCTCCATTGTTTCCCTTCTCAGCCACTTTTCGATCCTTACAATGGATGTGTGGAGTTAAGAGATGAATTTAGGAAAGTCTTTTAACGTTGCGCCCCCTCCCCTCCCACAGGCTGCTCTCACTGACAAGGAAACAGCACCCCCTGGACCGGTTGTCTCAGACCTTAGAAACTACCACAGCATTTAGGCTTTGGATGATTTAGCAACGGCCTGAGGCAGTGGAGATTTTCTAGATTGAAAACTGTCAGAAAGTGAGTCTGACTATACTCTTCAGTAAAGTAGTTACTGCCTATTTAGCACAAGAGGGTGATGTCTTGTATTTGGGGAGTCATACATACCGTGACCTATTTTTAGACCAAATAATGAAGTGGCCGTATCTTCTCTCACTTTATCTTGGTATCAGGGTGACCCTACCAGAAGTTGCTATGTTGTAAGGTCCGTTTATACTCAACAGAGAACAAAACGATTTGGCCATGCATGTCAGATCACTCTGGACATTAAGACTGTTTTTTTCTTTTTCTTTTTAATTCTTCATGTGGGTCATAAAGTTTTTGGAATTGCTGCACTGCAATTCTTCTATATGCATTCAAAGCAACTGCCATTTTCAAGTTAAAAATAAGCATATAAGCCAGGCTCTGGTGGCTCACACCTGTAATCCTAGCTACTCAGGAGGCTGAGATCTGATGATCACGGTTCAAAGCCAGCCTGGGCACGAAAGTCCGTGAGACTCTTATTTCCAATAAACCATGAGAAAACCAGAGGTGGAGCTGTGGCTGAAGCTGGTGGAGCGCTAGCATGAGCAAAAGATCTCAGGGACAGTACCCAGACCCTGGGTTCAAGCCCATGACCACCATGAACAAAAAGAATAACTGCATAGGTAGAGATAATGGTGTACTTATGGGAATTTTGATTAACGGAAAACTGTGCCATCAGCAGAGCTGGCTGTGTTGTATGGGCTCAGTCTGTGGCTCCTCCGTCTGTGCAAGTGTATTTCTCCATATTCCTTACTTGAGAGCGAGTCAGTCTGTTTTCCACTGTCCCCCTTCCTCCCAGAGGACTCCAGTCACCATTCCTTTAGAAACATCTCTGGTCGTGATAGTATGCTTTATACTTGGCGTACGTGTGTGTGTGTGTGTGTGTGTGTGTGTGTGTGTGTGCGTGCGTGCGTGCGTGCGTGCGTGCATACATATATGTATTCTTGGAATCAAACCTTCAGCCTCACACATGCTTGACAAGTGTTCTGCCACTGAGCTTCACTCAGAGCTTTTATTTTTCCTTTTTCTTTGTACTTTGACTCCATTCAACTTGTTTCATTTGACTAAAACGTTTAAAGGGAGAGAGTAAGGGGCTGGAGGGGTGGAGGGGCTTGGGCAGAGTTCTGTGTGTGGTTATAGGAGTGTGCTGATGAGCAGACAGGCCTGGAGCAGGATTCTTGGCTAGTATTTGTGAACTATGACCTCGTCTTTCTTAAAAGGCCACACAAATAGAGTGAAAATGGAAAATATATGTTCATATTTTCTTTAAAAAGGGCCTTTCATCCTGAGTCTTGGCTTTGACTTCAGTTTGGGTCTGTGTGGCTCGGAGCCTCTCGGGGCTGGGAGTGACACCGGTTTGCTCTGCTCTGCTCCTGTGTGGGGCGGGACTGTCAGAGACTGGCAAGTCAAGCTTTTCTGTCTTTGTTTTCTGCAACACTGAGCATAAAGGCTTCGTCTCTCTTACAGCTAGGATGTGCTGGTTGTGGTCTCATAAACAGGGAGAGAGCAAAGGACTAACTAGAAATGGAGGAGAGTGGCTTCCTATGTGGGGCAGACAGGGGCTTGCAATAGGAGGCGGGTGTGAGCCTTACCGCGTCGGCCAGCATCTGCTGCTGGAGAAGGAGTTGCTGCTTCTGCTCTGCGATCTGTTTCTGCAGCGTCTGTTTCTTCCCCATCAACTGCTGATTCAACAAGGATTGCTGGGAGTTCATGTAGCCACTTCCAGTGTTTGGATTCGAGCAGGAGTTGGGAGTTGGACTGGGGCCCGTGTTCTGGCCCACCACAGAGTGTTGATCCTGAAGAAGGGGGGGGGGGCGGTGGATTGTGAATTAAAAGAAGAAAAATGAAGCACAAAAATCAAATCCTTAGATTACAAACATTTTTCCCAGTGTCAAAGTTCAAGCATGGCTAATGGGTTGGACATCAGGGACTTGCTTGCAAAACGTGGAAGAAACAACTGCGTGTAGCAGCAACAGAAGCAGGTGGGTTACTGAAGCTCCACAAGACGCAGGGTGGAATTTCTACATTCCAGAAGGTGTTTATGGAATCTCAAAGAAACAAAGCATACAAACATAGGCACGATTTCAAGAACAAACACAGAATAACAAATTCTTCTTTTTTACCCTAAACTTTGCATGTATTAGTGTTAATGATGTTTTAATTCATGCATTTAAAGTTGAGTGTTTCAGGCAGAAGGCATTTATGGAATAAAAGACCACACAATTCACCGACAATGAGAAAGCATTGATTAAACACTCAAATTGCACAGCCAGACATCAGTGACTCACACCTATAATCCTAGCTACTCAGGAGGCTGAGATCTGAGGAGCGCAGTTCTAAGACAACCTGTGCAGGGAAGTCCATGACAGTCTTATCTCCAATAACTTACCAAAAATGCTTGAAGTAGAGCTGTAACTCTAGTGATAGAGAGCTAGCCATAGCAAAAACATCTCAGGGACCACCCAGGCCCCGAGTTCAAGCCACAGGACAGGCACAACAACAACAAAAAATCAAATTGCATATACAATAACTTTGGATAAGAGGATGCTGACCATGAAGACCCTTTGGACAGAAAGCTCTGGCCAGTCAGGTATTCTCCTCGATTCTCAGCAATGCGTTGGAGTGAGCTGACAGACAGCTGTGGGTACAAGAAGACTAGCAAACATGGCCCTCATCTTGGAGAGTTTATGGTCCAGTAATGAACAAAAAAATCCGCCTGAATATATAAACCCTAGAAATCATAAAACCACACTTTTGCTGGTATGGCACAAGCACGAAGCTGAAGCTCCAACCTCTGAAGGCAGCCTTCGACACAGCGGCTGTTCTGCTGAAGTCCTGCCTGGCTGCCCGGCAGAACAGGGCACGCTGAGGTGACTCAGAGGACGCCCTGAGAGAGATGCAACAGACCCACCTCCGGCCACGGCCTGCACGGGTACGCGTTCAACAGAAAACCAGGTCAAGCGCTCCCAGGACACCTGTGGTCATACGATCATGGGATGGAATGCTCATATGTGGAAATTCTGTTTTTTCCTCAAGTGTACAAAAAAAAAAAACAGGAAAGAAAGAAGAAGAAATCTTGCTAGCAGTGGTCGTCCACACCTATAATCACAACACCTGAGAGGCTAAGGCAAGTTCCAAGCCAGCCTCGGTTCTAGACAGAGAGCCTATCCCAACCTCCCTCCATTTTACCGCCTGAAAAACAAAAGCCAGCAGTCTGAAACTTGGCAACTTGGCCCTGGTATGTCCAACTGAGTGCTCTTGATCTGTCTGAATGAAGAAAATGCTGAGTTCGTCGCACAGGATAGGCCTGCTCATGTACTCGTCCTAAAACAACAGTTACTGTGTGATTATGACCAAGCTCCAAGGAAACCTAGAGACTGTGGACGTGGCTTTCTCTTACACGGCTTTGTTCCAGGGAGAGGAGACAGATCTCAGCCAGAATTGGGGCAGTGCCAGCCACAGCCCAATTCCATGCCCACTGAAAAACCCTACTGGCCTTCGTTTTCAGGTTGTACACCCACACTGCTGGTGGGCAGCTTAGTTCTGAAGGATGTTAGGAACCTGCTTGGTGAGTCCTCTACATAATATCCAAAGCTTTAGGCTGGAGATGATCAAAACGTGGGCACAAGTAGATGTGTGCATATGGATGCATGTTTTAATGTACAGAAGGTCTCCTTCCCCAAGCTTATTACATGATGGGTTTGGTATCTTGACCCGGGAAGGCCACAGAAGCATGGGAGGGTAAATTTACTCACCAGGGTAAATTAGATACTGAAACCTGATCGAGAAGAAAGGGAACATTTGAACTCTTCCAAGGGGCATTCTTTTTTCTTCGACACAAAGTGCCAGTTATTAACTGTGTCTTCCCCAAAAGGTGATTTGAAATACTTTTGAATAAAATGTCAAAATGAAAAAATTTAGAACAAATGCATCATCTCAGCCTTTCCAGCTAGTTCAGCTAATTTAAAATTCTATGATAAATATTTAAAGAGATAGTTTATATAAGGAAACTCGTGTAAATATCAGTAACAAAGAGTGTGGGAGAGGCCTGGCCACTGGGTCCTCCTTTGATAAAGTCTCTGTAAACCACAGCCATCTGTGAGCTCCTTCGGGAGGACTAGTAAAGGGAAACATGGGAGAAGCCCTCTCTTTCATGTTGTAATGCGAGGGTCTACCCGGCAGGACTGATCTGAGCACAGGACGGGACAGTCCTGAAGTATCAACAAAATAATCTCCATGTTGCTGAAGGGTATGAAGTATTGGGACTCGGAATTTGTTCCATTTCACGGTTACAGCAGTTTTGTGGGCTAAGCCGCGTGTCTCAGCCACTTCCACGAGGAGCCAAAGTTTGTTCTCTTACTTCTAAAATGAATTCTAGAGAGTATTTGTGTTCTTCTAGGCTCCTGAGGAAAACGGCTCTCTGTTTCTCTTGTTTGGAAAGGGGAATATTTAATGACACCTCCCTCCCCGACCCCCCCCCCCGAAAATGAAGTAATGAAAATTGCTGAGATCCAAGTGAGTGGTTTGGCCCTTGGTTTTTCTTGGCTTCCAAAACCAGGCATCTGCAATTTGCAAAACAAATCCAAGATGCAGTACCCAGTGGGGGCACGTCTGTACGTCCATCTCACAAATGGGCGTGCAGTCGATCAATCTTTTTGCTTTCCTCCCTTCTTTGCTGGTCTCCATGAACTACCTGACTGTTCTGCAGGCTATTCGTGTTCTGGGCTGTCTGCGAGTTTTCTCTCTTTCTCTCTGCCTTAACTGTTTCACTTCTTCCACACGCTAGGAGGCCCTCTTGCTTTAGAGTCGCTATTGGGGGCACAGGTGGTCCGCTAGTTGTGGATGACTGAAATAACCAGAAGCTCCTCCCGGTGAGAGGAGAGGGATTCGTCGGTGGTTTGCGAGTGAGCCTGGGGTCAGAGCTGCAGAGCTGTCTCGGGGCTTCAGGCCTTCAGGGCCAGCAAACGATGACACAGTGATCCAAGTCTGGCCTCCACCTTTTCTGGTCATTAAGATGACATTCGCTTACTTATTGTCTGTGCAGCTCTCACACAACAACAAACCATTATTTGTGGTGCACACCTTACGGCTCACAAAGCTGATAAGACTTGCTGTCTGGCTGTTTGCAGTGCGTTCGTTGACCTCTGCTCTATTTCTATACTGCCATGTAGTGCTAGATAGTTTCTTTTACACTAGACTGGGGGAAAAATGCCATTGAGAAAGTACCCAGAAATTCTTGGAAGTAACTGGCAAGCTGGGAATAAAACACTTATCACAAGACCTGCTGACGGCGTTCTCTACTCTCGCAACCATTACCAGCTCTGGGAAATGAAAAGGCATCTGAGATCCTTCCCCTGGCTTCAGTTTCCCGAGGAAGACATGGCTCTGAAAGGCTGAGGGCTGACTGGTGCAAGGTCACACAGCTCACTGGAAGAGCAGAGCATGGACAGAGAAACAGGCAGAAGAACATCTTTGCTGGGAAGAATTGCCCCTTGTCTGACCAAACCGCTCCGGTCTCTGAGGACGAGGTGCTGAAGAGGGTGAGCTGTCCTGTCCTCTGTGGAACGGGGCACTTCCCTGATCCGATCAGAGCCCCAGCCAGAGCCAGCCCTGTGAAACCTGATGTTTCACTCACTGGGACGCCGGTGAGTTCTCAGCCTCTGGGGAGGCACAGAGACCCATTCCCAAGTGAAGCAGCAGTGTGTCAGGGGTCAGGCTAGCTCGGGGGAGGAATAAGACATTTTTTCTTAAAAGAGAAACTCCAACTTTAGAAGGACTCCATGGCAGGGCTGAAATGTCTGCCTCTCACGCAGTGGTTTCAAACCTTTCCTTGTAGCACTGTGCTACGACTTCTCTCACCTCCACAAACACCATACATCTAACAAGTTTACCCACAATTCACATAGTCTCCAAACAGACACAGCCCCTCCAGCAGCACGGCTGAGAACTGCAGATTCATGTATGTAAGTGATGTAATGAACCGGCGCCTCCTGCTCACCTCAGGTAGTGCAAATCAATGTAACGGAATGGAGTCTCCTGGCTCACCCTTCATTCTCCACTCAAGCTTACGACCAACCATGGCTCCTTATTAGAGATCAAATCCTGGGAGAGTGGCCTACAAGGCCGTTGGTGATCTGAACTCCGTGCCTTCCTCATTCTGTACTTTATTGATATTAAACTCCATGCAACTCTCTGCACTCTTGTAATTCTTTTCTCCACGTTTGGCTTTTCTTTTTGCTGGTTAATGGAGACTTTCCTACCTAGGCTGGCTGTGGAGTGTGATCCTCAGATCTCAGCCTCCTGAGTAGCTAGGATTACAGGCGTGAACTGCTGGTACCCAGCCCAACTGTAGTTTTAAGAACAAACTGAGTAAAGTGGTGAAATGCTTAGGCTTTCAGCTTCCTAGGCATCAAATTCTTTACAAATGACAAGATCTATGGTATTCAACATAACAACACAAATGCAGTATGCTTTCAGAAGTTGTCATTTATGCTGAGCTATTATTTGTTTCTATAATGTTTATATTCTAAGTCTGTCCCTTGTGGCCTGTGAAACGTGTTAATTTTAGTCATTTTGTAGCCTCTTTAGTCCTTACATTCTCCAATATTAAACACAGAATTTAGATTATAATCTCAAAATTCCATTCCAGCCCTGGGATGGCTGAAATTCCATTTTTATTTAATCAAGTAAGCAGTAAATACCACTGGGATGAAATAATTCGAGTTATTTTTTTCATTGAGTCTAATACAACCTAGCAACAGGACATAAAAGTTTTGCCTGTGTAATAAGCAAGTAA